GTTGAGGACTAGTGGAACGCATGTTCCCATGAGTTATATATACTGTTGTGGATATATATTTTTTTAATCATTGTGGCTTTTAAGGCTTTTTTTTTGTTTGTTTTGTTTTGTTTGTTTGTTTTATGATAGTGCCTGAAGAGAATGATCTGTTTTATGCTGAGCATATCATGGTATACAATGAACATTTTATTAATTCATTGTTATAGAGCCAGACATTGTGGGGGATGTTTCTTTTCTTATTTTTCTTTTTCTTTTCTTTCTTCAGTATCCCTGTCATAGCAATGTGGGGGATGTTTCTTATTCTTCCATTCAACAAAGCTTTTAAAAACGTTTCCTGAAAAGGTTCAAAGGAAACAAAAATCTCATTACCATTTTCTAACTTATGAAAGGTACCCACATCAGAGCTCTCCAGGTGAGTGAGAGAAATTCAGATGTGAAGTTGAGATCCCTGTTGGTCAGTGAGGGACAGGCACCTCTGAAATTTTTCTTAGAAGCACCTCTTAAAAGCCACACACCTTTAACGTAACATCATCAGTCAGCTCCCCAAAAGCTGCCTTCACCCTCCTTTCCGCACACGTGCTCTTTCTCGTTGCTCAGCTGTTGTATGGAGCATCCCTCTCCTGTCTCCTCTGGCTTCTCACACAGCCTGTTTCATCTAGGTCCTCGCTTTGTTTCTGTTCTCTTAATTTCTAAAACCCTCATTCTTCTTCCCTTCTCAACATAGATCTTTTTTCTATATACTTAGTCGTTATAATGAAGTTAAATTATCTGAATTTGAGGCGTTACTCTACCAATTACTGTCTAATCTTTTTTTTTTTTTTTTTGAGATGCAGTCTCACTCTGTCACCCAGGCTGGAGTGCAGTGGTGCGATTTCAGCTTACTGCAAGCTCTGCCTCCCGGGTTCACACCATTCTGCCTCAGCCTCCTGCGTAGCTGGGACTACAGGCGCCCACCATCACGTCCGGCTAATTTTTTGTATTTTTAGTAGAGACAGGGTTTTACTGTGTTAGCCAGGATGGTCTCGATCTCCTGACCTCGTGATCCACCTGCCTCGGCCTCTCCTACCTAAACACCTAGCACGACTCTGCAGCACACTGAGGCGGTTGATCATTCGAGGTCAAGAGGAGTGAAGACATCCTGTGCCAAGTTATGTGCTGAAGACCGTTTCTCTAACGTTCATCTATTTTTACTAACCAGATAAGTAAACACTATAAAATTAGCTTAGCAGTGGTGGTTCATGTGATCGCCTGTAGTTCCAGCTTACTCAGGCGCTGAGGCAGGTAGAATCAGACTTATTGAATCCGAGCATGAGAGTGCACAACTGTACTTTACCAGCCTGGTGACAGAGTGAACTTATTCAATCCCGTATCTTGCAAGAAACATACAAACCAATCAGAAAAAAACAACGCCTCCCAACACTTTATTTTCTATTTATATACCAATGAATCTTCCTTTACAACCACTTAGGAAAATATTTTAATAGAACATGTTTTGCTTGCATCCAAATACCTTTATAAGTTACAAAAGTGGTTAATTGGAGATACGTTCCTTTCCTGGATATTCTTTTCAGGAATATCGTTCCTTGAACATAGACACCACCTGTTGAGTGGAGAACGAATTCAGTTAATATCCATTACATCCTCCAGCATTGCCTATTGACTTATCATGTTTGCGTGATTATGTATGCTGAGTCAGTAAGAAGATGCACTCATTACATATCGCAATAAATAATGAAAAGACTAGAGCATCTCCCCTCACGGCAAGTGCTCATCAGGTCTTCTATAACAAATTTGAAATTAATATAAATGTTCAATTGTAGTATACCATGATTATGCTTTGCAGGCTGAAATACATGTATCATCATGCCTGTTTTCATATTCACGTAGGCCACTATCATTAAAACCAAACTAAGAGCTTATAGTATCAAACTGACAAACAATACAACATATAGCCTGTAAAAAGCTTAATTTCGTAAAATCGCATACCAATGATTAAAAAATATATATCCACAATTCATTTATATTATTTTTGTAAAATTTCATCGACAGGATGCATTATAGTATATTGGCTTGGTTGAGTTCAAAGAAAGAATCAGATAAGTTTTGTATTAGACAGAGTTACATTATGAAATGAGGAAAAAGCTGAATTCAACATGTAATAAAACTGCTGCTTTAGGAGCAGTATTAGTATCCAATTAAAGAATTCTATGATATTAATAGCTTTTTGTATGTAATGATAACTTATGTGATATATTGGTGTTTTTTTGTCTTTTTTGAGTTTTTATTTGTTTTGTTTGGGCTGTTGCTTTTTTGTGTCCTGGCTCTATCGCCTGTTAATCCCTATGGCACTTTTGGGATTGTGTGTTTTGCCGCA